GAGTCGATCCTGCGGCACGCTTCTGATGTACACAGCAGAAACGCACCTGCTCTAGTATGAAGCATGCATGACACACAGCTCATCCCTCCTGGGGCAGGGGAGTCAAGGACCAGGGATGGTCCGAACTGGGAGCAGTGGGCAGCGTCTGGCCCAGCTTGATAAACAGGCTGCTTCTCAGCTGAATATACACAAGTAAGATCAGCCACTACTCAAACCGTTTGTTTTACTGAAGAAGTATCTCACATCATTTCCCGGGAAACCATAAAGAACGAAATGTAAAAATGTTCTAAGCTGAGTATATATCTCCCCTGCTTTGCTGGTGCTGAGGAACACTGCCAATTATTCAGGCGGGGGGGCGCTCTGCAGATCCCTGTGAAATCTATGGTTTAATCAATGAGCAGCAATAACAGAGAAAGCCACTCGGAGCTGCAGGAGGCTCCTAACTCAGAGGGCCGGGAGCCGTTCCCCGGTCACTCCATTTCTGTGCCACCGCAGCACAGACGCCTGCCCGCTTCCCTCTGCCGTATTTCCTGCGGCCTCTTTCACGTTTTCATTAACCAGCCTGAAGGGCCACGATTGGTGATGGTCGCTGTCTTGTTTTTCTCTGAAACTTCAGTCTGCTTTTGTCCAGTTTGTTTCTGCCACATTTAATTATTGCTTACAAGGAGAACAAATCAGTGTCGTTTCAATCAATATGAAAAGAATAATGAGGTTTAATTATCTACATTAAGAAATGTTTAAAATTACTGTAATTTTCATAATCTTCAATGCCTGTATTTATATAATGTATTTATTTACTGCAATCACCCATGACCTGCATGACTCTGAGCACAGTAACCGACTAATTCATTCAGTACCAGATCTTATGCATGTGCTGTTACTAAATGCACTCTGGGATCAGATTAATATCAGATTAAGTTTCCTTTTTTAATGGTTGAAAGTAAATCATCATTTAATACTTGTTTATAATACTTTCTTAAGACTTTCTTAACTCGACATACTTAGGGTGAAGGTAGAATGTATATGATTTATACCATGGAGTATTTGTAAATAAAGAAGCTATTAATGGTAACACTTTACTTGTTGGGGCGCAAATAATATAGCATTATGTTATTTCTTGTGTATTAGTTAATTTAATACATAACAAAGTCTTAGTTACATACTGGTATCATGTTAATTCATCATTAATGAATCTCAATGTGTTTTCTCAAGCAGTTACTACATGTTACTATATCTGTTAATTCTGTAAACTTTTGTGAACTACTGAAGGAACTACTAAGGAACTACTGAAGGAAAAGGCAATAAATAACACAAGTTAAATACAGGTTTTATGTTTGTTCATCATTAATGAATCATGACATATCTTTTATCCAAAGCAGCTGCTATTTTTGTTCACAATTTGTACTTCAGTAGTAACTGAGTTATTACTCACTGTTTGTGCCCCATCAAATAAAGTGTTACCCTGTTAATATTTACCCTGTACATATCATGGGGCTTTATGTACTTAAATGGTAGATAGAGCTCTAACCCTGCATTGACGTTTTTTTCTATTAAAACTGGAGTTAATAGAGGCTGCTGCTATAAATAATTGGGTTCTAGATGCTGAGATAGAAAGAAGTCAGATTCAGTGGAAATGCCAGGACTGGGTTACAAAAGTGAGAAAAAGATGCAGTGTGATTAAACGGAAGTGGCAGCGTAGGATTACAAAAGTGAGATTCAATGAAAATGTCTGTGCTGGATTATAAGACGTGCGAATGTGATTCAGTGCGATTGAATGGAAATGCCTGCGTCAGACTGTAAAACCGACGCAACAGCAATTTCTTGTGGAGCTCAGATCAGGCTCTCCTGTAATGCGAAGCGAAATGGATCTACTGCAACAGGAAAGCGACAGAGTCAAACCCCGAGGGACACTCTCTAAGAACGGAGATACTGTGTCAGCAGAGACTTGCTGTCAAGACAGTGCTACCTACTAAGCCAGGAAGGTAGCATGCTTAGCCCTAATAACCAGGCAAAATGGGTGAGCCACTCGCAATCTTTTCCCCAAGACTTGGCTTGTGCAGCTGATCTATCCCGCATGAGTTTAGCTCAATATCACTATCGATCTAGCAGCAAGCAGAAAGGGGCGGAGTTATACTCTTATTAGCAACTCCTAATGTCTGATAGGGAGAGATTAAAGGTCTGTTACTGCCCGGGGGCGCAAAATCATCTAAATGCCTTCATTAAGGAAGCTGAATATCGAATTACCGCAAGACAAGACCGACCCTTTTAAATGAAAGTCTGGGGGCAGGGTGGGACAGACAGATAGCATGGTGGGCCTGTTTGTGTTCATCATGTCATACAATATCACCCATGCAGAGATCTTTAGCTGAAAAATATGCATAACTGTCGAATGAACTTTCAGCAACCTTAGAAATTATTCCATCATTGAGGAGATTTGCAGAATAAAAACAGATTCATTCAGCCATAAAACAAACATATACAAACTCTGAAATAAAACATTGATCAGAATGTTGTTGGCAATGTTGTTCATAGTCACTTTCCTTTTTTTTTGTGTCTCATCCGAGTGGGAACATCTTAAATTTGCCATATGATACTCATTCTGCCTGCTTCTCTAGAATTAATTTACAGGTAACATCTGAATCAATAGTGATTACAGAACTGATGAGGTTCTTGGGAGAACACCTCAAGTCTGGTAGTGGTGGTGCTGGTGGTGGTGATGGTGCTGGGGGGGGGGGGTGGGGGGTGGTCAGGCATAACACACAGTTTTTCATAAGTCTTCTGGGACTGACATAATTCAATGGCTCACTTTCCTGTGACACTGATAGCGGACTGATCCAGTAATAAGCCTTACAAGGAGAAAGGGCCTCAATCATAGTTATCATGTCATACTCTAGTGAAGAAGCAGCTTAATCATGTCTATCAGCTAGCAAGCCACACCCACTCTATGCCTGAATTAATGTTCAGGCTGAGCCACGGCCTGAGATTCTGTACGTTATACTCAAAGGGGCGACACAGATCCGATATACACGCCCCCCCCCCCCCCCCCCTCAGAAGCAGGATATTAACAAAGATCCCCTGAAATTGCCCCATAACATGTTCAAATGTTTCATATTTTCAAGAAAGACATTAAGTTTCATCCTAATTAATTACATGTATTGTTTTCAGGTAGTTATGTCTATTACTGAAGCACTGACCGCTTTCTTTTAACAATCATGGCATTTTAGGGCAATTTTGAATCAGCATGTGGTTTATGTACGTTATTGTGGGAGATATTTAAGATCACAGTCCCCCATATTATGCTAGATTGATGAGCGCAATCTTGTTAAATTTGTCTGTTTTTTTTTTGTTGGGAAAACTGTTAAGAGAAAACATTGTTGGATTGATACAAAAATTTTGAACTTGATATCAGCATGAGTTCCACAACATCAATAGTAAATAAATAATGTAAAACACTCCCATTTAAATATTATATTGCTTTGAAATAAATAGAACTTTTTATGAATCAAACCAACAGCAATAGCATGTAATATATAGGTTTAACATTATCAATGAAATATGCATAAAATAATTAAACTCCATTCAATACAAAGATCCGGGTATTAGTTTCGGATATAAAACATTATAATACCATATCTCATTTCGGCTGTCCTGTAAACTATACTCAAGAGGCACGTGAAATGATTGTGACTGTCTCTCTCCCAAAAGCGCAGATTCAACACATGCTACTAGTTGGATTTATACTAAATGGCTTCTTAAAAATTGGAAAATGATTGCAAAATATTAGAATCGTATCATTTAAAATGTTTGGTATCGTGATACGGTTCTGACACCGGTATATGAAACGATGATAATCAGATGCTGAAACTCTAAGCACAATGCACAGGTTAGATTGCCATAGGTAGACTATACAGGTACAGCAGCTTCACTAGTAATACACAGCTGTTACACTGTATAAATCCATACAGGAGCCTTTTAATCAAAGCTAAACTAAGTGAATAGGAAAAGAAGTTGAAAGCACTTTAGCATGATAAATACTTCCTGGTAGAAAAGTATATACCACAGATGGAAACTGCTGCCTACAGCAGACTATTTCATATAGTGATGCAACATCTGATGTAAGACTCTGAAGGGGGCTACTGGGTTCAGGAGCCAGGGACCTACGGGGGATTTCCACTGCCGACCAGGGAGCCCCAGCTTCGCAACATCTCTGGTGCTCCTCAGCCTGGTTTGTTCACAACAGCTAATCTATGTCTACAAAAAACTCTACATCATTTCACAGGCTTGTTTTTCCTTTAAACAAGTACACTACCAGTCAAAAGTTTTTGCACGCACTGAGATTTTCTACAATTGCATGTCACTAACTTGACAATTAGTAAAAATACACTCAATATTATTTGCTAACAAATACATTTATAGTATGTTCACCATTTCATTACCATTATTTGCAAGAAAATGTCATATCTTTGATTCATAAAAGTACCCTACTCTAGTTGTTCACACAACTTTCCAGTGCTTAACACAAACAAAAAATCTGCAGTTTATGAAATAAATGGAAAAGTAGGTAAAAAACTGTGGTGTGCAAAAACCTTTGACTGGGAGTAAACATCAGAGCAGTATAGGTGCCTATGAGGAGCGTAATGTGATGCAGAAGAAAATGTGAATCATTTCACACTCCCCTCTTTTCCCGTTCTGCAAAACCATGAGATCTATAGGACATTCACAGCACCATTGCAAAGTTTAAATGGAAGCAGTCAAATTGTAGAAAGGCTCTGCATTTCATTGCTTATTCCTGTTACTGATTTGATTATTTATTCATTCTGCTATAGTGTTTCTAAAGCTGAATAATTTATAGATAGATAGATAGATAGATAGATTGGTTGATTGATTGATTGATTGATTGATTGATTGATTTTGTCCACCAGGATAGAAAAGTGTTCCACACATTTTATTCCAAGTGAAAAGCTGCACCATTTTTTATAATTTTATTAATCCACACTTACCCTGTTAAGACGACCACAAAATCCATGACGTTCCAGCCATTTCGGAGGTAGGAACCTTTATGAAATGCAAACCCAAGGGCGATGATCTTTATTCCAGCTTCGAAACAGAATATCCCAATAAAGTAGGGCTCTGTGTCATCCTGCAAAGGAAGGGACGACTTGTTTAAAAGGTACAGTGAGGAAAACCAATTGTAATGACAAAAATCAGAAGGAAGATGAGAGTGCATCCTTTATAGTTGTGTCAAGGCATACTGGACCTCAGGACCTTATTTGTATTACAGTAACTATGCATGTAATACGCCAGACTAGCTTCCATATAACATATTGCATTTGTAGTCTCATGCATTTTGTAACAGATACTGACATATACATGATGATGAAAAGCAGATTCTCACTTCCATGGCCTCATCTCTGCTGCTACCATTATTTTCCTTTTGTGGTCTCTCTGGGATAAATCCTGGCTATTTAGAAACAATCTCACCCTCGCTGCCTGTTTCAAGGGACTTCTCTCAATTAACAGTTCTAGACACATTTCTATTGGCTGCCAGTTCTCAACACCCACCACATGCATACAGCCTTCATTTGCCCATCTCCCTATCTCTGATATCTCAAAACCTCTCTTCACTAACAGATCCACTTACTAACATGATCAACACATAGCTAACGACTGGTATATTCTCCACATAGCTCATGACTTGTAAATTCTCCACATAGCTCACGACTGGTATATTCTTCACATAGCTCACGACTGGTATATTCTCCACATAGCTCACGACTGGTATATTCTCCACGTAGCTCACGACTGGTATATTCTCCACATAACTTATGACTGGTATATTCTCCACATAACTTATGACTAGTATATTCTCCACATAGCTCATGACTTGTAAATTCTCCACATAGCTCACGACTGGTATATTCTCCACATAGCTCACGACTGGTATATTCTCCACTGCATTTAAGCAGGCTCGAGAAACTCAATTTCTTAATAAAACCCACACGACACATCACAAGCTGAAAACTACACACCTCTATCGTCTAATTTCTGTCTCGAGCTTTTCAGTGTGCTGTCGTCAATCGAGTTTCCAATTTTCTCACACAGGATAACCTCTGCTACAGTGTGGCTTCAGAGCTGGACACACTCCCTTCCTGACTAATGTGGACACCCTGAGGTCTGCAAGAGCTGCATCTGGCCATTTATTCTCCTGCTGGACCATTCAGCTGGCTTCATCACAGTGAAACACCAAATCTTCCTGTCCAGCCTCTGTCAGCTTGGCATCACATACCTGCTCCAGTTGGTATGACTCTTACTTTCAGTTCTAGTATCTTCAGCTCTCATCCGATCATCCAGTCACATGACTTCTCCTACTACTACTACACTGATTATATCCAGCTCAACATGATCTTCCCTCCAGAGGAGCCCACAGTCTCATCTCAAATTTCTCATTGTCAGTGCAGCCTGGATGAGGGATCATCACCTCCAGCTGAACCTTTCAAAGACTGAACCTCTTGGCTTCCCTGCCAACCCTACCATTCATCACAATACCACTTTCATCTTAGATCATCGACATAGTCTCCTTCAAAGGTCTGCTAGGAACCTGGAGGTAATGATAGATGACCAGCTATACCTTGTTGTTGACATTGCAGCTATTTCATGATTTTGTACATTCATGTTGTATAACATCAAGAAGATCTGACTTTATCTGTCAGGATTATGCAGCTCAATTTCTTGTACAGACACTTGTCATCTCACAATTAAATTACTGTGACTTTACTGACGAACCGCCAACATGTTCTGTGAAACCACTGCAAATGATGCAAAATGCAACAGCACTTATTCAATCAGCTTACATTTTACACCTCTCTTTGTCTCTCATTGGTTCCTCATAGACGCTCACATCAAACTCAAGTCTTTGGTGCTGACTTTAAGAGCTGCTAAAGGAATGGCACCTACTTACACCAAGTCACTCATCAGGAGCTATGCTCTGTCTCACCCTCTACAATCAGCAAGCCAAGCCTGGTGATCCATCCACCACATAAAATTAGTCTCACTCTAGGCATTTTACATGTGTGGTTCCTTAATGGTGGAACAAGCTATCCATTCATATCCAATCAGTAGAGTCATTCCCAACCTAAAAGAAATGTCTCAAGACCCAAACTAACGGCTTACTGCTCATCTATTCTGTCTTCATTGACTCTTCCTTGGATATGGTCCAATCACAACAATGCATACTAATATCTTGTATTTCACACACATCCCATAGAACCTAGTTCTTGTGGCAAATTAATTCAACTAATTTGGCTTTTAATAGTGTTTTGTACAGCTCTCGCTCCAGTACTGACTTGCATTTTTTACCTGAGATCCTACTATCTGCCTATATCAATTTGGACAAAACTATCTACTAAAGAAATGTAAATGTAATCATCACACACAAATCTCTGGTCTCACATGTGTAGCACAGTGGCCAAGGCAGCAAAATAGAAAAAAACTGATGCATTTTTAAATAACTACTCAAGTTTTTCAAGTTATATTAAATCAAAATATCACATCAACCATTTTACTGATGTGCAAAAGGTGCCAACTCAACGTGAAATGAAATAAAGGAAGACAGCAATACTTATTAGTGTGTATTATGCAATAGCTTTTCTGTTGAAAAACATGACAAACATGCATTAATGTACATTAATTACTTGAGAAAAGTGCCAACAATTAGCTGTTTAAATGAACACCTAAGAGTCTTTTATTTTTTTAACCTCACATATTTTACTGTGGAGATCTTGATGCAATAACCATGCATTTAAACTTCGGTTGCTACACCACTCATGCAGCATTACACTATGGGAACTGTAGTTTTGACAGCATTGCTGTCTAAGTAGTGATTCGGACTGCAACTCAAACCGCTATACAGGGCACAAACAAACCTTGCTATCTTAATTACCTTGCAGTAAACACACACACAGTGCAAGGGCAACTATTTTTGGGTGTTTTGTGCACAAGCAAATTAATTCCTACTAAACTGAACACAGTCTCCCTGGCTGTATCCATTTCCAGTCTTGATTTATTTTATTTGAATAAAGAAAAATAAATGTCATGCATAATTGCACACAGTTCTGATTTCACTCCAGCCACCCATCTTCCAACTGGTTAAAGTTGAGCCAGCTGACACATGCAGAGCAATTCACTTAACCACACATCTTTGGACTTGGTGAAGAAACCTGTGCACCCCGAAAAATGCCACACAACACCGGGAGATGATGTAAGCTGCACACACACTGAGCAGTGGGCGTGGCTTAAATCTCAGGCTGCGGGGGCGTGAAGCCCCATCCCTACCCACTCCGCCACCCTGCAGACTTAGTTATTCATAGAAATGAATGTTTGGTGTCATCTGTTTTTGTGCTGTAATCACATTTACCAGCACCTCCACATAAATACACATGATTATATAAATTACAGGAAATGTAAGATTTCTCATGTCTTATTTACGGTGGCTCTTCATAACGTGCCACCTCATAACCTCAAGGCTGAAGGTTTGACTCCTGCCTGCACTCTGTCTCCAAAGATGACATGTTCTCCGTTTTCACAGCTGTTTCCTCCCACAGTTTCCCTGCAATGCTGAGCAGGATAAGTGGTTGAAAGATGGATGTCCATCTGATCACCGATGAGTCAACTCCTCTCAGCATCCCATCCTCAGATGTATTGTAAAAACAGAACTAAAACATCAGAAATGACCGCAATACGCATCAAATAAATTACGCAAATTGTAGGCTTCACAAAGTCAACCAACTGAGATTTTACAGTTAATATTGTTAGCTGTCTTAACCAGGTTAACCTGGTTAAGACTCTTGAATGTAGATCAGTTCTGTGTTCCACATGTAAAGACCGCTGTAATTGTTTTATTGATGTCTTCTAAAATTACTCTAAAGGCCAGTTCCTGGCGAAAGAAATTAATGTCTGAAAATGTACTCCTGCTCTTTCCCATCATAATTAACTGCATGTATTACAAGGTTTTATTTTTTTCTTCCATGTGTTTCCAGGAACTGTAGATTAAGAATCAAATTTATAAAGTATTTCTGCCCTAGTTTCTGATACATTTATCTCTTTAGGCGCACAAATCTTATGTACATATTCATGAGGAAAATATACAATAGAATTTCATTACATATGATGTTAAAATGATCTTTATGTTATTCCTGTCCTTTACCTAATAATCAATTAATGTAGCTGGAGATTCTGAGTCTACTTTTATAAATTATGCATTCCTGTAAAATGTTAATGGTTTTCTTGAAATCACTCAGGTCTATTTTAAGTCTGGAACACTGGAACGTTAAAACAGCCACAACCTGAAAATGCTCACTAGCAATAAGCAATGAGAGTTCTCCCTTTTCCAGCTAAAGGGATACTTAAATAGTTTTTTTTTCCATTTTTTGTGTAATATAATATATTAATGGCCGGACCCTCTTCCAACAGCCTAATATTAAATAACAAGAAGGAATAGAATAATAATATAAAGTCACATCATAATGTCAAATTAAGCTCATTAGTCACAGACAATCGATAAGGTATCTGAGCAGCTGTAACATCCTTGGCAGTGCCGACACCTGGCCTTTAGGAGGTCCTGGTCATAATGTGCTGAATAATCTGCTGTAGACTGAGCTAAACACACCACAAGCATTTACTGTCCTAGTAACACCAATCAACAGCACAATGCAATTGCTAGTTCTGAGAGTTGTGAATTTGGCGTGGGGGGGGCTAACCACACTCAATGTGTGTAATGCCGGTTGACTTACAAAACCAAGCTGGTGAGAGACCTCTAGCTGCCAGAGAAGCAGGTCGGGGCTCCCCAGTGACATTACATAACTGCTTGGCTAAAATATTATGAAACAGACATCTACAACATCTGTATTTCCTTTTAGATTCCTAGCCATGACCTGATTATCGTGCGATCATACTACTGTATGTGCAGTCAACACCCTTAGATCTCCAAACAGCATCAGCTGAACTTCACACGAGCCGGTCATCGACACACACTGAGCTACTGCTCTCTTGCTGGCACACAGTACAACCACTAAAGCACATGGATGCAAATCGTAAACAGTGGATAACCTTTAGGTAACATTTTAATTAAAGCAATCACCATAGTGCATTAGAAATACCTTCATAATGCATTATAATGCATTAATAAAGTATTTTAATCACAGCTATAACTATTTAGAAAAATGCACAATACGTTATAGCCATTTTATTATGCATTATGAATGCTCTATGAAGCTCCCATCTATAATGCACTATAGATACCTTCATAATGCATTATAATGGTCAGTATAGGGTGGCTTATTCACTCACCAGTCGCTCTGACATGGGGGTCTTGTCACAGGCAGGCAGATGTTGCTCCAAAGCCAAGACGATGCAGTTTGCTATAATTGTCGCTAAGATCATGTATTCAAATGGAGTATGCAAGTTAAGGAAAATTTTAAGGAACATTTGCAGAACAGAACCACCGATGTTCCAGGAATGTCTCACCTAAACAATTACAAGAGGGTAAGAAAAGCAATTGATCATATTCTGAAGTTTGGTTCTGCTTTGAGACCTTAATTTTAATTAAAGCTAAATAGTTAAAAATACCACTGGAACCACAAATATATCTGGTACATGATAATAGTCCAAGATAGCTAGAAAAAGCATACTCAAGCGTAGTCTGAGTGGCTAAATGCAAATATCAAACAGCAACGGCAAATATCACCTGAAAGATATGCTTGCTGGTTCACTCTCTGTTGCATTGTGTGTAATTAGGCCATTGTGTTGTTTATAGAGACCTTCTCAGGGGTCTCAGGAGACTACATTACTGAGGAGATGATTCTTACCCCACACATGGATACTGAATATGAGCTAAATGTGGAAACAGACAAGCATCAAACAGGTGTCTGGCTGGACACAATTCCAAATTCTCTTTGCCAAATTTGTTCTCTAGAAATCCCTTTCAAGTGAAAATATTTCCCTGGTAACCCAGGTCTGTCCCCTCTCTGTTTAGACTTCTAAGTTTGGTAAATAAGTCCATTTTTGCTTATTTTACCAATGGAAAAAAAAAAACCTTTCAACAAATTTCAAGAACATCCCACTTCTGTGCTAAACAAAAAAGAGAAGTAGGTCATTTATGTTTTTACTTGCACTGATTTCATAATTATTCTGTCACAAATTGCACATAAGGCAAATAATTAGCCCAAACATGGAACAATAATATGTTGAAAACTCAAAAAAAAAAAAAACTCTGAGAACTGGACGTCAAACATCCATTAGGTAAAACATCCGTGTATACAATGAATAAAAACCGCAAAGTGCTTTTATTAGCTCAGGTAAGGAACCAAAGGAAAGCACCAGACAGCTCAAAGCAAAACATGCGCAGTAATTACTTGTAATGTATGTAAATGACAGCAGCTAAAACAGTTGTATGAGCATGGAAATGGATAAACCTGATTTATAAAATATTTATGATGCTTCTGGAAGCTATTATTTTAGAATAGTGTAGCATGTGCATGTTGGTGACATAAAGTTCCTTAGATCTGTGGTTGGAAAGGGTTAACTAGAACAAAAATTATACATCACTTAAACTGAAATATAAATACTTGGCATCTACACCATCAAAGTTCAAGCTACATACCCCGGACTTCACAGGCCCGTATTGGATTCATCATAATCTCCACAAACATCACAGCGGGTTTCTTCTACTACCCCACAAACACCTAAGACCTCCTACACTGGATCCCTTCATTGAATCGGAAATAAAATCCATTTCATCTCAACTCTCTCTCTAAACTGGTTATGGAAAAATTCTGCATGGCAGAAGTAGATTTTTGGAACACCTAATGTTAGAGGCAGGTTAGGGTTAACCATAATCTAGTCAAACAGTTTTCCACATAACTCAGTATTTTATGGTTGTTACAGATAATCCAGATGTAACAGAAGTGTTTGGCTCAGAGGTGACTTCTCTTCTGGCATGGAATGTTGTTACATTGCTCTTCTGATTTACAGAAGTTCCTATGTCTTGCAAAAAAAAGATCTCTGTAAATGATAATGAGATGGCAAGGTTTGATCCAGTACCAAAAGAATCAACATTCCTTACTGGTTATTCAGCCCAAATATATGCAAAAATTTTATCCAATTTGAAGAGACTAAGAAAAGTATTAATTGATAATAGATATATAAAAGTATATATAATATGATATATGTAAATTACCTGCGATATTTTATTTGTATATTTTAAAGGACAATAAATATTCCATAATTCCCTACATCCTCCTGAAAGCTACGCTACTGAAACCCTTTGTCACTTAGCTTCTTGTGAGTTCATGTCTCATATTAGCTTCTAATAAATATCTCTAATCTGATGGTAAAAGAAACGCAACCGAATTTGCTCTGACAGCCACACGAAAAACCCCGCTGTCTGCTTGTGTTTATTCGAGAGCCGGGTCTCTCCGCGTTTATTCCGGAGCAGGACTTGGCGTGTGGGTGAGTTCAGGACCCTGGAGAGGGGCTCTCGCTGTAGGGTGGGGACAGTGCAACGGAACTGCCCTATAACATCATACAACCACACGCTTGGAATTCAAATCTACTTTTACACTTCATTTCATGCTAGATTTTGGAAAGTAGTAGAAAAAAAATGAAGTTTCAGGGATGGATCTAGCTCCGTGTTGACTCGTTGAATATTCATTTCCAGGTTGTCCTAAGAAAACAGCTGCAACTGGGCAGCTGTCACGATAAACAGCATATACTGTAGGCCTGTATAGTTCAGAAGTTGTGAATAAAACAGAACGCAAGTTTAATTACAGCAATCCACCGTGTTACAGAATACATAGACCTGCTTAAAAAAACCACGACGATTTTCGTTTATTTTGTTTGTTTGTTTGTTCATTGTCTGCTAAATACTTAAATGCTGTAAAGCGTAAGGATCACCCAGCTCAGTATTCAAGCGCAATGTAATCCTTACTGTTATGATGTGTTCCCCCCCCACCACCACCCCATGTGCACGGAGGCGGAAAATGTCTAATGCTGCTGCTAGCTTTTACCGCGACGCTACGATCCTGCGCGTCCGCGATCCTTTTACACCGCGCGTCCTTCCGGGCGCCCCAGAGACCCGAGGGCCGATGCTCCATGTAAAACGCAGCCGGTTGCTAGGAGCGACCGGAGACCTGCTGCTCCATACAGGGGGGATCGATACGGCGGTGATTTGATATGAAAAGAAAACAGCGGCTTCCCCGGGGATGCGACAACAAGGAAGCATGATAGACCAGACCGTACTCCGTCTGATGCTGCAATTATATACTCGGGACCTCGAGCTGTGTACTCCGTTAATGTAATGAAACAGTATTGCAATGTATGCATATTTCTCAAAGTCCACTGACGCAGCCAAGTCTTCCCACTACTATAGGAGTGCAGAAAGGAAAAAAAACCCTACCCATCCTGCCTAATGCAGCTTATACCCATACATGTCCCTATGCACGGAGCCACAGCGGAGGACTCACATGCTGTGCAGCGCAACGCTTGCTCATTCAAGGGAACCTTCGACAGGAATAAAGAATCGTTATTTTCAACTAGATTTTACTATCTGTTATTTACTTCTCCGTGATGCTTCGCCTGGACGCTGGTAGTAGTGGAAAATAAACTTGTCAAAACAGCTGAATATTTTGCTTTTGCTGAGGATACAATATGCGTCACGTGTAACTTACGGTGTAAGCATGAACACTTTAAAGGCTGGTTAATGGTGATGCAACTTAGCGGTGCCCTAAGTATATATAATAAGTAAATACGAACTGCAATTACACATAACCATTAAGATCAATCAGATCACGGTTGCTGTTCTCAAACCAGTGTAAAGGATATGGCCATTCGGTTATTTTCTTAGCATATTTCCGAATAATGTTATCTTCACTAAAGATGAAAAGAGAGCGATTGACAGTAAAGCAGTTTTGTTTGACGGGAATAGGGTTGTATATGGCCATTGTCCTGGCTCTTTGAGCCATCGATTGTTTGTACATCCTTTGGCCACCCGGGGGGCCTCCCTGCCGGCTTGCCCCTCTCCCTGCACCCGCTGGACTGCCGCCTCCATAGCGGGTAGGTAGATCGTCTCCGAAGCGAGCCATTCTAGAAACGTACAGATCCGAGAGAAAAAATCCAATTTGACATCAGATACGACAGAAAGGACAAGCATCACAACACAAGCTGTTATCCTAGTTTAGAGTTTGCATCTGTTTGGAGTCTGTTCAACAAACATAGAAATATCGGTAAATATTTTCTACAGTTTTCCTTTTTCTTCCGGCAGGTAAATTCCCACTCTCGGCTGCCTTCCTTTGTTCAGTCTTCCAAGTATAAGCAGAAAAAGAGAAAGTTAAATTCCGGTGTCGCACAATCCGTGCAAGGTGCACTTCAAAATACAAATGATGAAATAACTGTGTTCATTTTGGCTTGAGGAAATAAAATACCGAATATTCAAAAAATATCGAGCAAAGATTAAAAAAAGAATAAATAATGCCGATTCGATTTCACAAGTAACATACGACCCACCAGAAAATTAAAATAAAACGAACTGGACAAAGACTCCAGATGTGATCTTCTCCTCTGCTTTTTCTTTTTTTCGCTTTATCCGAAGTGAATATGATGATGACTCAGGATTTTCTTTTATCCATTCCGTTCGCTTCCACATAATTAAAATCAAGCAACAGAAAATCCCACTATTGCCACTTCCCCGTTTTACTTGATCATTAGCTTTCAGCGTATAATGTAACCTATTTCTACCGTCTCAGCTCCTTATTAATAAACACACGTGACTGAAGGGAGCCTATCAGTAGCGCCACCTGTGCCACTACAGAATATTCAGTAGCAGACTAAAGCGACAAACTATTTAATTTATAGCAAGTTTCATGAAGCCGCATATTCGCGGGTTACACCGATACTCGGTAGGGTTCCTTATGTCTTGCACTGCGCAGAGAAAACACAGAAACACACACACTCCATGTCTCGTGTGTGTGTGTGTGTGTATGTATATATATATATATACACACACACACACACATACACATACACACACACGCACTAAACGTGTAAAATGTATGAATCTTTCACTTCCTCTGTTCTCAGGCAGGTTTCTGCTATACGGTACGCTAATAGTATTCGAGGATGTATTTGGCTGGAATGAACGGGTTAAAACAATTTCAGAAAGGTGTGTTGTATGATGACAGTCTGCTTTTTGTAATTTGTGAGATAGATTATAATGTAATGAAACATCTCAGGCTGATTTAAGATTTAAGTACATTTAACTACCTCTGTTCAAAACAATAAATCGTTCCTTTTGTTACAGCATTGCTTTTCCGAAGTCATGTTTACCCCGTTTTACTCATTGTAAGCCGCTATATAACAAGAATATTTAGCTACAAAATATTTAATAATTTTATGGATTATTATCCACATTTGGATGCACTTTGTCTCACAACACAATATATTGTGTTTTTTGGGAGATGCTCACAGATTCAGCCCAAAACCAATGGCCCGATGTTGTGTTTATTTTCAACACAAAAATGTTTAAATATCCACGAAACACTGGAAATACTGTCAAATATCGATTTTTAAAGCTTTGTTTAATTAGTGTGTGTATTTCAATACTAAGGCTGTTATTTTTGCTAATGTGGATGCTAGCGGATTTGTATTTAATTTAAAATTCATTGAATATGATTGAGATTATACAGAAGGGCGTATACCTTTGATGTTAATGAGTGTTAATGTAATTTATTTCTTTCTTTTTTTTAATGAAAAGGGAGGTGAAGGGTGTTTTAAAACTATTCTCTGTCATTCATATCAGTCACATAGCACAGTTTGGGAAGTATGTGGAACAAGTATTTTATTGGGCCTGGGTGCAAAGGTAAAAATTTAAATTGACAGATCAAAGTACAGTTAGCTTAGAAGTCTAGAAGATCAGAGGTGGCAGCTATTTCATTAAAGATCCAGAGGCCTACCTATCAGAGAAATGCGAATGAATTCGTGCTTCTAGAAAGTCAGTAGCTGTCCTTTGGATGGTTCTAAGTGCCCCACCCCAGTTTAGCATTGTCAGGGACAGTGATCACTGCAGTCTCGCCTGCAGACCCACAGTCTGATGGTCACAGTCACTCAGCTTTCCATGCAGAGTCCCAATGCAGAGTCATAAAACCTGCTTAAAATCAAACGACCAGGCAACACATCTTCATTAAAGTCTCAGTCCCAGATCCTCTGATTCCCACCATGTCTCTGCCACTCCAAAGAACACACTGCCACGTTCATTCTGCTCCCTGTACCACATGGGGCAGGTCACCCTAAACCGTGCTGTGATGTTACTGGAAAAACAGAATAGATGGCTGCATCTCTGCAAAGTAGCCAACCCCCCCCCCCCCCCCCTCCAGTCAATCAATTCACACTTTCACTCATAGCTCTTTGAAACAATGACTCATGTGCAGGCTGTAGCTTTAAGAGGGGAACCCTGGAGAGCCGCAAAGCGAAGTAACAGGAGATCTTAGATGTTCCGCGCGGCCTGTGAGCCAAGCAGCACAAATGAAGGTCTTTTCTCACCAGGCGTGGCTTCTGCATTTCCGCCGGTTCTCCATCGCCATATCATTTCCAGCTTTTCTGACACAATGAAAAGAGGAGTTTGGCAACGAGCCGTCATTCCAATAGAATGACAATGCAGAACATATAGAAATAAAGGAAGAGGTGGATAGTCCAGATCCAGAAAGCAAAAATCCAGACCAAGATTTTGTTTCAACTAAAAAGCTGAGTATAAATAAGTCACACAGTACTCAACTGGTTCTGGACCTGAACTTTCCACCACTGAATAAAGGTAAGTATGAGCTTTATCACAAGTATCTCCCACAAAGATTGTATTTGCAACATAATCATTCACCTTAACTGAACGAGAGATACATGCTACTGTAGTAAGGATGACTTAACAGAAGTCATTCAGAAACAGCAGGGATGAAATACAGAATAAAAGCCACATAAGTGTGAAACAGATCATATAATACAAGTCAAACTCCATATTCTAAACCGCATATGATGAGAGATGATGATGACGTTGTGCCAGTATAGAAGGCAGTTTTCAGGTGTTCTTGCCGTTTACCTACTAAAGCTATAGATTAATTATTCCACCATCTTATTGACATCAGCTTTTCAAAGCATACTGCATTGATAGTCAACAATCAAAATGAGAAAACAAGTTTGCTTGTAAGGATTTTAGCAAGACGGAAAGCTTGACTGAACATCGAATCAGCCGGCATGAAGGTAGATGAAGCTCACACCCAGACCAGGGTCCTTATGGAAAAAAATGACATCCACTCTTTATAAAATCAGTAGGAGAAAAGTATGTTTCCCCAAAGCCAAAGACTGGTATCTCTGTACTTTGATATTCCACAATCCATCAAAAATTAATCTTATGTGAGTCTGGTTTTAAAAGGAGGGACTGCTTCCTTCATAATTATTAATAAAAGATAATTAGCTGCAGAGAATGGCAAAAAAAATAGCTGCCTGAATGTAAACCACCAACCAGCTGAGTGTCACTTCATATGAAAGTACCTTAAAGTAATCAACATTTAGTAAATAACCAACTATCCCATAAATCAAATTTGGACCTGTTGTCAGGAGTCCTTGTGTCAATAATATAATTGCTATGAACAAAAATTCTAAACCGCGTAACCAAGTTACTTTAAAAAAAAAAATTTAAACTTTCATTCTTTGCGAAACAACTGCACAAGTTAATTAAATCATATTAAGAACTAACTCTTACCTTTGACTCAGAGCTACAGATTACTGTACTTTAAGTCTAGAGTTCATTTAAAATGTTTAAAACATGCAATTAACCAAAAGATACCCTGGGATCCAAAACCACAACCTATAAATGAAAACTTTTCAGGAAGCTTTCTTCCGTCCTCTCATCGCTTAGCCAGGTCAGAGTCGCAGGGAGGAACAAAGTGGACTCAGCACATTGATGTTGTTAGTCTAGACTGGGACCACAATAACCACGTCATATTCAATTATCTTTCTGACTTTGCTCATTATTTTGATCTATACTAGCTGACTGCTAAATTCTGCAATAATTGTCCTCATATTTGGTTATTAATCATTCAGTGATCGGACTGAAAATATATTCAGCCGTGTAATACCATATGTCCCCTTACGGTCACACCAGACAGTGTGGACTGTTGGCCTCCTGGCCCTGCAGGAAATCTATACTGCTTGCTAGGTCTGTTACTGCGGCCTCTGCTTTACCTTTTAGAGACACACTAACAAATTAGACCTGCAATTTAAAACACCATCAGTCAATGACTGTATTGTCTGCAAAATCACTCGCTTTGATTTTGGATAGAACCAAAAGGCGATGCCAACGACAGCACTATATAGAACCAATATTTCATACTTTAGTGAGCATGAACTGTGATACAATTTCTAGAAAACTTGGTCTTTGCTGCTAGACCTGTGATTTGGGCTTTTTGATACTGACCGTACAGCCTGTCTTTCTCTGGCCTCCAGCGAGTTCCTCCTTATTTAGCAGAACCATTTTCAGAACTTGCAGACATCTGGTTGTGATCCATCTTCATTGTAAGTGATCAAATATGGAGATCTGTTTATGTCAGGATCCACTTTATTCTCTTTAGACTACAGACAGTGAAAATGATAACCATTCTCATTCCTGTGTTTATCTACATTAATATACACAGCAATGCTTGCAGTTTGAGTATCTGGTCATGGGAGACAAGAGTGTAATCGCCTCTAAATTAAGATGAAACTGAAATGCTGGAGTCAGCTCCTTATTTCCAATTTAAATGAAACAGCCTAATTCAGAGAGATGTCACATGATTCAAGCAACAATTGAACACTCCCATTATCTTTCTGCTCAATATATGTTTTTAACAGCTGAGAAGCATTTTTAATTTAGTGCTATTACAAGAACATTAATACATTCATATATTGGTAGCAGGGCAGAGTATTGCAGTGCACTGCACTTTCAGGGAGAACAGACCAGGACAACAAATTAGATATACTGCAGAGATACAATACAGCACTTTCCATGTCCTCCCTTTGCCTTCTGCAGAAGTTTAAGATGGAATTTCTCTAACATAAATAAAAAACTCAATTTACTCTGCGGAGCTCATTACCATGGGCAGGCAGGATCTCAGATTTTCTGGTAACTCCTAGTGCGTGGAAGATGGCCATCACTCCCACAAGTAATCAAATCCTTAGGAATAAACAATCGCGATCCCTTTGGTTTATTTATATAATTAGTTTCAGATAATGCCAAGTCTTAAAAAAGGAGCTTGTTTTGGTAGCCATCCCTTCTGTTCTGGTTTGACATTGTCATCATAAAAAAGACCAAAGGGGTCTTCGCATTTCTAAAACAGGTGCTGTTTGTGGGGTGGCGTGTGACTCCGTGGGTCAGGACACTATGCCTGGGACTGGATGGTCGCTGGTTCAGGTCCCCTGGCTGGCAGGACAGGTTCATCAAAGCCCCTCACCGCCAGCTGCTCCAGCGGCAGCTGAACCGGCTTCCTCAAGATTATGCAGCTTTAGATGGAAAAGTCTCTGCTAAATAACTAAATGTTTGTCTCTCCTCCAGATAAACAGACACTCAGAGTAACATACTACTCACAGAAGAGCTAATAAAATAAATTATAGGGTAACAAGTCACACAAAAACAACAACATAGCACAAAAGTCCAATTAAAACCAACAGGAACTTTACAATAAATTAAAGGCCGTAAGTCATACAGCTATAAGGCATTTAAAATATGAACTCTGCCGGTCACAACAAAAGGAAACCCCTAGGCGTCAATATTTAAATATTAACAAACCCAGCAACTGCATCCTGCTGGTGCAGTACTCCATGCGGCCACCTGTCAATATCTGCAGAGTACCTCATTCTGGATGATAGCATGCTCCAGAGATTAGGCAGCCCATTGACCTTTGACCTCAAAGGCCCACCCTTATTCCCTGGACCTGCATTGTGAGATTGTTTCCTTTCCTCTACTTCCTTGGGGGGGTTTATTTGTTTATTTTAAGGTTGTCAACCTATTGCGTTTAGTTATGCTACAACAACTGTAATTGTTCATGTCATGGCATCTCCGAAGCCACCTACGCTACAGCCATATAAACAGGTGTGGCGTTTGAGTTTGAATATAACTATGTAGTCGGCGTACGATAGCTTAAGGTCTGTCACTGCAGTTGGCATTTTGCTTGGTGTTCAAGGGGGAACTGGGCACAAAATTTTGCATTAAATTCTCAAGGGCACCTTTTGTCAAAAATCCCAAAAAACACTCTGGATACATTTGGTAGCTTTATAAAAATATACAACAATGAATAGTTCGATCATGAACAAGCACTCAAAACACACGTCTTATTACCAAAACCTGACACTTTTAACGGTGCATCCACTCCCCCTAAAGGTTCCCTGTATGTATTGCAAACTATTTTACATTTGAGGTATCTTGCTTGCATCTGGAAGATTGAGGTGTGAACATACAACATGCGGTCAAAGGAACTCAGTATGCAGATGAAATAGGCCATCCTGAGGCTGCGAAAACAGAAAAAAACGAGAAATTGCCACAACATTAGGAGTGACAAAATCCAGTTTGGTACATCCTGAGAAAGAAAGAATAAGCATTGGTGAGCTCAGCAACGCAAAAAGGCCTGGACGTCCACAGGCGATAACAGTGGTGGATGATCGCAGAATCATTTCCATGGTGAAGAGAAACCCCTTCGTAACAGCCCACCATGTGAACAACACTCTCCAGGAGGTAGGCGTATCAATGTCCAAGTCTACCATGAAGAGAAGACTGCATGAAAGCAAATACAGAGGATTCACTGCAAGATGCAAGCCACTCATAAGCCTAAAGAATATAAAGGCTAGATTGGACTTTGCAAAAAAACATCGTAAAAAAGCCAGCACAGTTCTGGAACAGCATTCTTCAGACAGATGAAACCAAGATCAACCTGTATCAGAATGATGGAAAGAAAAAATTATGGAGAAGGACTGGAACAGCTTATGATCCGAAGAATACTGCATCATCTGTAAAACATGGTGGAGGCAGTGTGATGGCTTGGGCGTGCATGGCTGCCAGTGGCTGCCAGTGGCACTGGGTCTTTAGTGTTTCTTGATGATGTGACACAGGATGGAAGCAGCCGAGTGAATGCTGAGGTGTTCAGAGACATCATGTCTGCTCAAATCCAGCCAAATTGATTGGGCAGCATTTCATAATACAGATGAACAATGACCCAAAACGCACAGCAAAAGCAACCCAGGACTTTATTAAAGCAAAGAAGTGGAATATTCTCGAATGGCCAAGTCAGTCACCTGATCTCAACCCCATTGAGCATGCATTTCACTTGCTAAAGACTAAACTACAGACAGAAAGACCCTCAAACAAACAGCAACAGAAAGCTGCTGCAGTAAAGGCCTGGCAGAGCATTAAAAAGGAGGAAACCCAGCGTCTGGTCATGTCCATGAGTTCAAGACTTCAGGCAGTCATTGCCTGCAAAGGGGTTTCAACTAAGTATTGGAATTGAACGTTTTATTTGCAGGTATATTAATTTGTCCAATTACTTATGAGCCCCAGAAAGGAGGGGATTGTGTAGAAAAATTACTTTAGTTCCCCACGTTTTTATGCAATGTTTTTGTTCTACCCACTGAATTAAAGCTGAAAGTCTGCACTTCAACTGCATCTGAC